TCATATGAACGCAAAACCATGCAACGTACATGACATCTACTTTTACACTCCTGTTTTCTCTGCAAAGTTTATTTTCTTGCTTGTTTGTACTGGGAGACGAATCATGTCGAAAGATAGCAAACCGAGAGAAACTGTGCGTCTGATAAGTGGCGATGGATATAGCTTTATCCTGGACAAGGTCATAGCAGAGCAGTCATCTACGATCAAGAACATGCTGGATATGTCGACCGGAGGCTTCACCGAAGCATTAACAAACGAGATAACATTCCCCGAGATCAAAGGACAGATATTGGAGAAGGTATGCCAATATTTGTTTTACAAATACAGGTATGCTGACGAAGGTTCATCCGAGCGCGTGCCTGATTTTGACTTTGATGTTGAAATGTCTTTGGAGCTTTTGATGGCTGCGGATTATCTGGATTGCTAAGGAAAAGCCAATCATTACTTTTTCCTTCTTCGTTTCAAGCTAATAAATACAATGAGAGAACCAAAACAACTACAAGAAAAAGAAAAAGAAAAAGAAAAAGAAGAAATAGCGCTATTTAGAATATTTGGGTACAAGTTTGCGAGTGCGGATTGGTATTCCCAACAGCTCTTGCCGATTTTTGAATGCTATACGATCTTTGATAAGCCATGAACCATCATAGGTTCTTATCATGCCAGTGCTTGCATAGTGGTTATTTGTAGTTGCCTCTATCGGCTTGCACGCTTGTGCTGCTTTAATGGCCATCACCAACGCTGTTCTCACTTGCGACGAAGCTGGGGTCGATTCCGATGCCAGTTCACCAGCCACTTTGTCAATGTCATCTGCGGTTTTGCCGCTTTGGCCTCTCTCTGCTGCATCCTGGGCAGCCTCTTTGTACTCCTGCTTGAGCAGCTCCATCGATGAAGCAACTAGAGTCTCGGCCCCTTCTCCGTCCTCAAAGCCATCTGCGATGCGGGTAACAAAGGAAGCCACGTATTCCAATGAAAACTCAGTTGCTCCGACATGGTATAGACATCCAAACAGCGCAATGCAAGTCTCTGGGAATGCCGCCAGCTCGGGATCCGTAGGCTTCGGGATCTTTCCAGACCACATGGTACTAATCAGTCTAGTAAATTTCGGGGCAGTTTCCACGCTGATATACCTATCCCAGAAATCAACCAAGTCTCGCTTTGTGATGGAGCCAAGCAGCTTGCTATCAACCAGCTTCTGATCAAATTCATATACCTCGCTAAATATATGAATCAGGTAGTCCCTGGCTTCGTCAGTGATGTTCTTTGGCTTCTCTTGGTTCAACTGAATCTTAGTAGCAACCAAGCCATTGAACTCCCTGTCGCTCATGTTCACCAGTATGGCTCTAAATGACCGCAAGAATTCGTCAATACGTAGTATCAGATAGCATGGATTGGCTTCGCTTTGTATCAAAAACTGGATTGTGTGGTTTGCTGATACATCCAATATGCAGCGCTTGCCACTAACAATATACCCCAGCTGCTCCTTTGTACGTATTTGATCAAAGAACGGCGTTGTGATAAGCGTACCGATTAATGAGATGATGGCTCTTTCACGAAGATTGCAGGCTGCCCCAGTGTAAATGGCATAAGAAACCGCACTGTTTATATTGTCCTTGTCGGGAGCAGGTAGTTGATGTATATAAGAGCCGGGATGAAACTGGTGCGCGCGTTTGATCAACCGCGTGTAATCGGGCAGGGGACAAAAGTTGAGAATCTTTTGGATGTGCGAAATGCTTTCCAGGGCGTCTTCCTGCTTGAAATCACCAACCATTATCATTTTAATCCTTGCAGCGTCAAACAGATGATCGACAAAGTGCTGGAAGCTTTGGATATTGACATTTGCCATTTCTTCTAGTCTTTCATCCATAGTCCAGTATGGATTCAATGTAAGCGAGGGTGTGTCCGAGTCAACTAGATTTCTGGGTACAGAGTACTTGTAGTTTAAATGGGTTTGCCTGACCTCATTCACATACACTTGGAACTTCACTTTATCTACGGTGAACGACTTTGCAAGCTGGACTATCGTATTCAAAAACAGCCTCAGCTTGTCGCTAAACCCTTTGACCTCAATTAGTATGCCACTGTCAATTGTGTTTAGTTCAAAGGACATACCAGCCTTTGATGCTCCATATGTGGTTTCTGAAATCTTGTTTTGCAACCCAACCGTGTATATTTTGGTCATGACGTTTGTCAGTGGCGACTCGTAGATGGCTGAGTTTTCAATGAATAGATATATGCAGCCATGAGGTAGAAAGAATTGGTCGTCCTTTTTAAACCACAGTTCTATTCCGTCTGTTAGCTTTAACAGCACTGGCTCCTTTGTGCTTAGAGCTTTGGGTGCTACTGCAGCTGGACTATGCCGTGCATCTATGAGCTGTGGCAGGTATTGGTTTTGTTCAGGCAGGTGAAAGCCACCCAGCTGCAGATTCTCGCCATTCAGCCTGCCCAACATATTCCCCGAGAACGTGTCGACGCGATACTCTATCCGGTAGTACCGCTCTGTGTGTGTGCATTCGCCATCGATATCCTTTGAGCCAAGGTACAACCGAAGATTGTTTGCGTTGAAAATGCTTAAGAATGCAGCCAGCATATTCTTGTCGTAATTGCGGTATAATTTGTTCCGAGAAATGGTGTGCTCGGGTAGCAGGTATGCATTGTGCATACCATTAGCCATATTCGCAGCCAAGTCTCTAACAGAGCCCAGCTCGGCGTATCTGAAACGGGCATCGCAAATCTGCTGGATTTCCTTGTAATACCACTCTTGAGGTCCATGCAACTGCAGCATTTTGATGTAGGCAAATACCGCACAAACAATATCTTCGTAATGGCAAAACCCTTCGGATGTGGCTGATATTTGAATTTTCAAGATATTAAACCCATCCGCCATTTCAAGTAGCAGCCTTGAGCTGATATCAGTAGCCCAGCCACGGTTGAGCAGAAATGAACACAGGGACCCCGGACCCTTTTCCTTTACAAGAGACGAAAAGTAAGACACCGGATCAACCAAATAGGTGTATCTGGTGTCGGGGACCTCAAAGCACATTGTTATAGTAAACTTGTCTGCCATGCTCCTGTATCTAACAATTGTTCCCAGCTCTGCCTCAGATAGCATATGCGGAGTCCGACCCAGAAACAATGGCTTGGTTATGCCCTTGCTAGCAATGCCCGAAAACTTGGCTACCACCCACTCAGTCATCTGGTCAAGAGAGCTATTGCTAACCACGACGAGCTTCATAATATCAGCCGAGTAATATCTGTTGTAGAACCTAACAACTTCCTCGCGCAAATCAACCCCAAGTCTTTCAGCGGCCAATTTTAATGTATCGCGATTACCAACATTGAATCTAGAAATTGGGTGCTTGGAATTGAGTGTAGAGGTAACTATACGATACTGCCGAGGACCAGGATGGTTCTTAAAGCACTTGTGTTCCGAGTCAATAGCATGAACCTCTCTATCGACAGAACCAGGGTTGAATAAAGGGTTGGTAAAGAACTGGGCAAAGATATCAAGAGCTTCCTCAAAGGCATCGTTGGCAATGGTAAAATAATAGCTGGTTTTTTCTAACGACGTAAATGCATTTGTAGAGCCAGAATTTTGAGTTATAAATGAATGGTACTGGCTTTCTTTTGGGTATTTTTCTGACCCCATGAACAGCAGATGCTCGCAAAAATGCGCTAGCCCTAGTAACTCATTAGGGTCACTTGAGCTGCCAATGTTTACACTCAGTGTTGCTGATGCCTCTTTTGTGTTGGGATCATGTATGCATACGGCCTTTAGATTATTGGATAGCTGAATCAGGCGGTATCTCCGCGTATCCATTGGTGATTGTTCTAATGTACCCGTGAATTCCAAATAGGAGCTTTTTGATTGTACAGTTTCGCGTGATTCAAAATTTGATTCCCAGTCGGGAAGCGGCGGCAATGCAAACGCATCCATGCTTGAAGAGACAACTGAGCAAGGGGGGAGGAGGAAATCAAAGGCAGGCAGAGTGGGATTGAACTTTTGTGTGGCCGAGTGAGAGGGGAGGAGGAAGAAAGAAAGCGAGAAAAAAAAAAAAAAAGTGAATGGGCGACTAGGTGGTGATGGGAAAGGGGAGCGAGGTGGGATTGCATAAGCCTTTTTAAACACTCGGACGGAGCCTCCTTTATTTTGCTTCCTCTCACTTTGACCTAGCGTGTCTGAAGAGGCGGAGTGGAAGGCAAACGGCGACAATGACTATGATTACAAAAACTTGGACAATGACTCAAAATATTTGCCTTTCGTGGAACGGGAATAAGAAAAAGCGAGAGAGAGAAAAAAGGGTGGGTTGCAGGTTGCAGCGGCTGACATGGGCAGTTATCGTAGAGCAACCTTTATTTGAGATCGACAAGCACGCTGGCAGCCAGCCCTTCACATTTCAAGGCATCAAAGAGCATAGACGCGTGACAATCTTTCAAAAAAGAAAAAAAACAGGGCTATTTTGCGCTTGTCTGTCCCTTGTGAAACCTCTTCTTCCAGTGTGAGAAGTGCCCTTCTCACTCTTGGCAATAAATGCACACCTGGACAATGCATGCAAGACACACTAGCATATCATAAGGAAGATAAGAGCGCGCAGCAGGTTTAGGGTATGTGTCCCCTACAAGCTGGTTATGCAAGCGTTACCTCCCCAGCTCAGCTTCCTACTTGCCATTCCTGTTTTGGATAAGTGAACACGATTGCCCCCCCAAAAAAGTTCCCACTGCTAGATCCTAAGCCACCTAGATCCGGGTTACCATGTACCGAATTAACAATCTGCGATGCACGGGTATTAAAGATCTTCTAGCAAGACACGACTCGTCCTCTCCAGCACGCTCAGTGCAGCTTGAACTGCCGCCTTCATCGCTGGTGCTAACTGGGCGAAAAAAAGAGAAAAAGAAAAGCGAAGGCACGCACCTTCGGCTGCAAGGGCTGAAGCGGGTTGGCAGCCACTGCTGATTGGGCTAAGAAAAAACAGTGTCCGCAAAAAAAAAGAAGGGTGGAATTGTGTTTCAACCCGGGTTCGAACCGGGGACCTCCCGCGTGTGAAGCGGGCGCGATAACCGACTACGCCATTGAAACGCAAGCTCCGGCCATTCTCGGCCATCTGTTTCAAAACAAAAATGAATCCGTAGTCGCTTGACACACACGGTTTTTGCATCAAATCGGCTGGCTGCTATTTTTTTATTGCTGTTTGCGGCCCTGGCAGTGTCCTATCAACCTGGTATCTTTTGCCCCCATCTTATGTGCTGTCTAACCTACTCCGTTCCCCGTTGGAGAATGGACGTAGCAGATACCAAGTTTTCGGAATGGATGCTTAACCTATTCTTTCTTCAGTCTGTAGCATAGTAAAACTATTTATGCCCGGAACACTGGAGCGCTATTTCTTGCCTATTGGACAGGCCGGTGTGTCTGTAACTCGGTGCTACATGTTTACTGTCTAATATTGCCATGTACACAATATGCCTCGGCGGCAGATGCCATTGGCTACCGGCGCGGACGTTTGGACGGGAGTACACAAAGAGGATTAGGCGAATAGCGGTGTCCTTTGAGCTGTGGCTAGTACGTGCCAGTGCTACACGTACACGCACATACATGTACAACCTCCGATTCACAAATGAAAATACAGTCTGCCTTGCCGTCTATTTTCATGCATTACTCCAGGCAAGAGACAAAGGTGTCTGCTAGTTCGTTTTAAAGACTAGCAGCGTTGGGTGCCTTTTCGCTCATCCTTTGATCATGCACTTGCCGCTTTTCTTCTAACACTAACAAGAGCTACATTCTACCCTTACAGCATATTGCAATGGAGACCGCAAGAGTGTCTATGGGCGATTCATTGCCCATACTGCCTGTTTGCAGGCAGATTACTGGCGACACGCAGTTCATGTTTCAGTTCTATAAGCCGTGCATTCACTTCTACGAGCCCAGCTCTTTGACCTCAGCGTGTATGAGCCAAGGACGCTTGCGCCACTCGTTAATAACAGCACTGCACAGCTGCCCTCTGCTGCTCGGCAAGTTCAAGATACAGCGAGACCTAATGATAAATCTCGAATATAGTCCAGACGACTATAACCCCCCAACACTGGAATTTCAAAGAGTACCGGCGACGTTTGAAGAGTTTAAGACCGGTAGGTTTGCATACTCTCTAGCAAGAAAGTACAATCTGGATATCCCGATTCCAGATGGCGCCCTTACCAAGGACTCTGATCTGCCGCTTCTGATGATTAAAGTAACGTACTTGGCTGACGGTGGCATTGCTTTATTTTCCATGACAAACCATGTGGCCTTTGACGGCAATGCCATGTTTAGCTTCATTGCTCATTGGGCCGCATGCAACAGAATGCCGCAATCTCAGCATCTGCACACAGCAGCTGCTTCGCCCCGGAATCTCCAGGTATTTGCTACATCGCTCGTAGCCAGCACGGGCAACGAGCCAAAGCATGGGCCTGCTGAAATATCTGTTGATGCAAGCAGATCTTCAAGAGAGCTGGCCATGTCCATTACAAAGGCGGTCCCCATCGAAGATATTAGCGCATGCGTATTTAGCATCAGCACAGAGAGCGTTAAAGCGCTCAAGGAGCAAGTAGAGAAGAGCGGAGTGCTGGACCGAGGACAATGGGTTTCGAGCAACAATGCCTTGACTGCATTTATTGCACAATGCGTGGCACGTGCAAATACCGAGTCGCAGGTATACGATGCAGGCAGCTGGACCGTTTTCCAGTCCATGGACATGCGCAGACAGCTTGGGCTTTCCTTGAATGGCCTTGGCTCGCCCCTCATCCTTGCCGAATGCCAAGCAGCACTGGATGAAGTAATGGCACCCGATTGTCTGCCTGCTCTCGCCAAGCGCGTGCGCAAGTGCGTGGACAAGTACACGCCCGAGTACCTGCAGGATGCCATGGATTGGATCAGCTACTCCTACAAGCAGCTCGCACACGATGGCAGCACTAACGAGCCGTGGAGGCACTTTTGGTTTACAGCACTGAACACAAACGACAGATGCGTGGGTGTCTCGTGCATGAACAAAATCCCTGTCTACGACGCTGATTTTGGCGGTGGAAAGCCTACAATGGCAAGATCCTTCAACCCAAGACCCAACTACGTCATTGTTTTCCCTGGTCCTCCTACTCCCGACACGCGTACCGGATCCACACCGCCAATGCACGACTGTTTGCACCTGTATGTGACCTTGGAACGCAAAGCCATGGATGCGCTGAAAAGCGACAAGCAGTGGAATAGCAACTGCAAGCTCATTAGCGACTTCTAATTCCGTAATGATGATATCATTCAGCATTCGATGGCACAATCATTATTAATCACCCGCTTGTATAACACTGCACATTTCTCCCTTCCTCTCTTCTCTCCTCTCCTTTTCTTTTCTTTCGTTAGCAATCTTGCAATATACTTTTTTTTGGCGCTGGCATTCAAATACACTCCAACATTTCTTTCCTACAGAATTCCCAAAGCCACCTGTTTTTGTTACCAACGCCCATTCGCAACAAGCTTGGCAAGAATGACAGTTCCCTTAGTTTCGCCAGCTCTAGCCACTGAGAAGCCCACTACCACCGCCGGTGCTGCTGCTGCTGCTGCTGCTGCTGCTGCTGTAGCTAGCCAAATAAAACCACACCTCCTACAGGCTGAGGTAGTAAAACACAAACCAAAGACTGGAGTAGCTCTAGGCACGCCTTGGGAAGACAACAGACCGCTTTGGGTATTTGGATACGGGTCGATCATCTACCGAGTAGACTTCCCGGTCGAAGACAGTGTCTTTGGGTTCATTCGCGGCCGCAAGAGGGCGTTTCTTCAGGAATCGCACGACCACCGTGGTACCGAAGAGAACCCAGGTCGCGTATGCACTCTGATTCCATGCAGTGAGTGGAGCCTAATGTTCCCAGCAGACAAGGTAGAAGACCCAGACGAGGTTTTGTGCTGGGGTGTTGCCTACAAGGTTCAGAGCGGCAAGGAAAGAGAAGTCAAGGAGCACCTGGACTACAGAGAAAAGGGCGGCTATACCATCGATTTCATCGACGTGTTCACTGAGCCTGGGAAGCCACCAGTCTTGTCGGATGTCATGGTGTATGTGGGCGTTAGCTCCAACCCATCCTTTGCTGGTGCTTCAACGCTGGAGGACACAGCAAGAGTCATTGCTCGGGCTGAGGGGCCATCGGGCACCAATCGCGAGTACCTGTTCAAGCTCTGCAATGCACTGCGTGAAAGAAAGCCCGAATCCCTGGGACCATACCTCGAGGCACTTGAGAAGCGTGTAAAAGAGCTTGCTGAATAGAATAGAATAGAGCTTCTTTTTATTAAAAAAAAAATACTAGAGAGGAACAAACCTCGGCTTGTGAATGACAAAAGAAAAGAAGCCATATCATGCACGGACAACACCACGTCTTGCGTTGGTGATGTACTTGCTAAAGTTGAACGATTCTGGCTGCCACTCGCCATTAAAAATACAGAGCACCTTCATAAGAGGATGATAGCTGAGGTCTGTAAGGAGCTTTGGCGTGATCAAAAAGTACTGTGCGGACCCTTCTCTGCAGGCTGTGTTTACGATCAAGCGATGCACCAGACGCTCGTTGCGCTGGTCCATACCCTGGTTGATCTCATCGACAACGCGGAATGGCGCAGTTACCAGCGACTGCAAGGACTGAAGGTACAGGATGGTTGTGACCGCGCGCTCACCACCAGACTGGCGGTGGTTGTTGAGGGATTGCAAAGGCTCGTTGTCTCTAAACGAAACCCTGATTTCAACACCCCAGTTGTCATAGTCTTCATCATCACGAGGCATGCCGTTCGGGATAGCCAGCCCATT